GAGAGAGAGAGAGAGAGAGAGAGAGAGAGAGAGAGAGAGAGAGAGAAAGAGAACGACGCGGGGCGAAGTCACCTGCTGCTGACTGGGATAAGCCTGCAAATTTTGGAAGCCGTGCGGCCCGATCGGTTGCTGTTGCTGCTGCTGATAACCGGAGTACTGATCGACCTGTGGCGGATTAGTCGGCTGATACTGCGTCTGGTACGGACTGCCCTGGGCGAACTGGTTCTGCTGGACGTACTGGTTCGGCTGATACTGGTTCGGTATGCTGTTGGGGTACTGGCTCGTCGGCATGTTCTGCGAGTACTGCTGGTACGGATTCAAGGTGGTCTGCGCGTTCAGCTGGTTCATGGACACCTGGTTCGCCAGCGGACCGGGTGGCACCTGATTCGGTATCTGGTTCTGCATCGACGGCAGCTGATTCTGCGGCTTCATCAGGCTGGCCCTGCGTATCGACTGCATCACGCTGCTGGCGGCGGTGCTCGCCGCCGCCGCCGCCGCGGCGGCCAGCGTCGCGTTCGTCGTCGTCGTCATTGTCGTCGTCGTCATCGTCGTCGTCGTCATCGCGGAGTCGACGATCGACGAGGCGCTCTTGATCGGCGTCACTCCAGGCTGATCCGCCGTTTTGTGCAGAATACTCTTGCCGGGCACGGTGTCCTGGGGTGGCGGCACGTACTTGGGTATCTCCCTGTTCCGCAGCCTCTCCAGACCCGGTTGTCGGAAGTCCGGTGCGAACTGCCTTGCCGTCTGCTGCGCCAGCTCGGAGTCCTCCCGAGCGTGCTCGGCGGCGATGTCGGCCAGCTCGGCCTTGCCCCGCGCAGTCGCTGTCCTGGAAATCGCGATGTCCGCCTTCTGCAGGGCGATTTTGCTCGCTCTCTGAGCGGCACTCACAGCAGCCTCTATCCTCTCGCGGAACTTGGCCGACCTGATCAAGAAGAGGTGCTTCTTCTTCTGGCTGGTGATCAGCACGTTGTTCTTGTACTTGCCCTCCTCCTTGCTACCGTCGCGAAACGTGGTCACGCCGTATCCGTATTTCCGGTTGTTGAACCACTCGCCCTCGTATCGCAGGCCGTCGCTCCTCTCGGATATGCCGAAACCGGTCCTCTTGTCGTTCTTCCACTCGCCCAGGTACGTCTCGGTCACCGACGCGTCCATCTGCTCGTCCTGCGAATCGACGTCGCTTGATTAGTCGCACACGTTACGCACTTGGTTGCGTTTTCACGATTCTAATTATTTTCAAAGCGTTTGGACCGTCAAACGCCTCGCTAAGATCGGCTATATAAGCGCACACTTAACGTGTCTGGCTGTGAAAAACGGAATCAAGGTCCACTCAGAGTCTCGTCGAGAATCGCCAAGGAAAGGCTGGGAAGAGAAATAAGTACCATGAACCCACCTCGATGACAAAGGACGCGTTACTGTCTGTGTGGACCGACGCCGAGGCTTGGCTCTGCGAGCTCTCCGTCGACATCCACGACGCCGAGCTGGCGTTACTCCTAATACTGCCGCCGGTGCCGCGCTTCTCCAGGTCCCCTGTGCTCCTTTGCTTCCGAATCTTGAGACCCTGCATCGAGAAGGACATGGTTATTCCCGCATCTCCGATTTGACGAGCGACTCTCTGTCTGTCGCGCGGAATGTCTCTTACCGAGAGGATACCCTTCTTCAGGGACTTCTCCGTCAGGCTCTTTCTCCGGGCGGGTGGATCGTCGCTCCTGGCCTTCAGAACAAAGCCCCCCCGGCTGTCGTCCACGCGACGGTCCCTCCTGTCGGTAGGCTCCGGCGTAGGAGCAATCGCCGGTCCTCCGTCAGCGCTCCTCAACGACGTCAGGGATGCTCTCACCTGCTTCGGCGGCTTGTAGTGACTCGCCAAGCCGAACGGTGCGCTCGCCCTCACTCCGTATCCGTGCCGCATGCCGCGAAGCCATTGGCCTTGATAAGTCCCTGCGATAGATCATCGACATAACGTGACGGAGGTGGAAGCGGAAGTGGAAATTGAATGTTCTCATCGCACGCCATTCTGTTCATTAGAGCTGATGAAGCACTTTCTATGGAATCTTTCTCTCTCTTTCCCCCTCCTCCTTCACACCCACTATCCTTGTTACCAGAGGGTCATACTTTGTGGGATGCTTACTTTGTAATGTCCTAATAGCTAGATCCTCACACTATCTCTTCACCAATTCCAATGAATTTGGAACAACAATAAAGGCTAGAAACACGAGAACCTGCGAATAATCTGCTTGCATTGCCTACGTGTAAAACTGTATTGTTCAAGAAATCTTTCAGATCCTACTCAGGAACTGAGTTGTGGAATACATTGCCATTGCATTTAAGAAATGCAAGGACGCGAGACGAATTTTAGGCAAATTTCTATTCGTTGTTTTTGGATAGGAGTAAAATGCAAAATTAAACTAACACGGTTAAATTCGATCTTTTTTATCCTACACTGAGCCCTTTTATCTCATGTAATTCACTCTGTATTATTAAAATTATATATATCCCCTATTTTCCACAGTACATACTGTATATTTCTATGAAATAACTTTGTTATAACCATTAGACTTTCGCTATCAAAGAAACAGCCTTTTCTCTTGTATATTTCTTGTATAACATATATTTTCTGTGTGGATAACACGCATACATTGGAGAGGGGATTTTGTCATAGCGTTTTGACAAATCCTCCTCCTCTCCCTCCTCCCACTCTGCATGAATTAATATACATGAACTTCGACTATCGAGGTAAAATTGCGATAGTTCGGTAGCAACAATAAATACACGTGAGTGTTAATGTTTCCAGAACAGTCGGGCGGAAATCGCGCGGAACGAGGGGGAAAAGATTCATCGTCGCGCTTCAGGCATCGGAAGTCGCGCCTCAGTCGACCACGACGAATGCCCAGGGTTGCCTGCACTCGGTAATAAGGCGTATTGTTTTTGCCAAAACGTGACCGTGTTTCAAAATGTCTCGCGTGAGTCACGGCGTTACGAGGCGGGCGGTTACGCGTGTCCCGCTCAGGGATGTGGAATGCGTCCGGCGCTCGCGTGTGGGTGCTTTTTCGGGGAACGTGCGAATTCCGGAATCGATGGAGAACCGGCGGAACGAACGGACACGCATTCTGCCGCGGCAAGAAACTCTCTGCCGCATGACAACGCGGAAAAGAGCCAATCTGCCCCGAGAAATTTCTCACGCACCATTACGCAGCGCCATTACAGCTTTATCGTATTTTTAACGTTAATGTTTAATGCATTACCGCTCACATCACACAGCATAGAGAAAAAGAGAGAGAGAGAAAGAGAGACGCGTGTCGAGAACCCTGACTTTCAACTCATCGCGCGGGCACGTCACTCGATGCGTGTTCCACTTTGCGTATCGGGAGCGTAAGCTCCATTCTTTCGGAAGGGGAGTCGTGCCATTCTGCGTTCCGCACAGCCGGTATCCCTGGACAAAGTATCGCGGTCGCAGCAAAAAGTTTGGGCCGGCGTTTATTGGCATGCGAATGAAGTCGAATGCATCGCAACGACGCGGACATTGCGTGCGCCGGTATGCATCATGCTTCTCTCTTCTCCTTGACGCAACACGGACGCGCGTTCCGAGCACATGGGATGACCCCTACGCGTCCAGCAAACTGAACACTCACTCTCTTAAAATGAATCAGTAAAAGGTGTCTGATTGAATCAGTGCTCTATTTCAGTGAGCATCCTTTGATTTTCAATGGAAACACTCCCCACTTTGCAGCTCCATCTTATTTCTCGGTAATTTCGACCGGTGGAGGTGAGATTTTGCTATAAAATCTGCAATACATAAATCCGTTTTACGGATTACGACAAATCTATCTTTCTGCGTTTGAGCACGATGGAGTTAACGGGTTCCATGCGCCTTGCGTGTGACGGCACTCTCTGTGTCCACAGAGTGCATCGATAATAGGCATAGTCGCTGCTATCAAATGACCCTTTCATCGAGACTTTAGCGATTGCAGTGCTGTACTTACAACTGAGTCATCAGTTATAAGTATAGCATTTCAGCGAAGAATACACTGATAGAGAGTAAGGCCTGCAAATGAACGCTTGAGCACCAAACTGCAATATTGGAACAGACGAAGCCAAGTTGGCCTTCTGCGACACACTTGTTTTGGCACAATCACATAACCCCCTGCTAATAACCTCTAGTTGCTTACTTGAGCCTTAAGGGGTACGCCATGTACCTTCATATTACAATAAATATAAGCAAACTGTTCATTCACCTGATGGTGTTCAGTTACTGAACAGCTGATTCTACACGGTGCGCGACGAAGAAGTACCCAAGCGGGTCAGGAGAGAGCTCGCTGGTCGTTAATGTCGCTGGAATCAGTATTGGGATTAATCTCGGCGATCGGGAAAAGCTTTTCCGTGAGCCAAGGCCTTCCGTCGTGCCGTCGTCGAGGCAGTTCGCAAATTCGATTCGCGTTGAGAGGAATCTGTCATTAACAGGCACGTCGGTGTCGACGGGATACCCTATATATGGCGACGCCCGGCGTCTCCCCTCTTCGCGCGCCACGTCGGAATATTATTTCGCCAGCGTTTAAGCAAGTGGGTCACGCGGCGGTGCCCGGCGCTCGCAAGAACGCCAATGTACACGAACCCTCGAAATTGCCACCGCGCCGACGATGGTCTGCCGGTGCTGAATGCACCGAGCGTGCGCTTTCAATTAATTTTTAGGCACGGCTGCGAGCGCGCTAGCACGAGCGCCGTCGTGAAAAGCGCGCGGAAGCACGCGCTGTGTGTGCATGTGGGTGTAAACGTTCAAACATTAGGTTCCCCTCAAGCATTCGAAGGCAACAGCGAAGCGTTTCTGTTAGCTGTGAGCCAGCTACCCGGATCGACGGGCTAACGAGTTTTCGCCTGGCGATTTTTCGCGGAAGCGCGCGCGCGCAATTGGCTCTCCGCGCGATACGCCATCGACTTCTTTTCCCGGGGAAAAGCTCTCAGGAGCTATTGCTGAATTTTTACATAGAGAGGCGCTATATATGTACGAAAGTGGACCAATTATATCACAGATCATGGCAAACGGAACGATCGATTTTCTTGCTTTAAAACTTTGAGCAACTGTACTTTCCGGGGCACTGGATTCTGGACGCGTATCGTACGCTAAATATGCCATTCTGATACTCAAGCTGAAACAACGTTGCGCGCCGTACTCGTAGAGGAAAAATCCGACTTGGAATTGAAAGCGCATACTTAAGAGGACGCTGGATACCGGCATAATGCAGCTTCGTATTTTCTGTTGCGCTATTCTTCGCTGTTGCGTTGTATGGAATTTCAAATGCTTGGGCCATGTTGAATAAGTAATTTCGGATCTTCTAAGTAAAATGAAATACTCGTATCTTTATATTGTTTTTATTTTTATATTTTTATATTTTTATATTGTTCTAATTTTGTGAAACAATGTGTGCGTCTGTTTGATTTGTAATATTCTGTCACATTTCTCACACACATTGTTTTATAAAATTATTACAATACAAAAATACGAGCACTTCGTTTCATCTGAAATAGATTTCATCCGAAATTTTCATGTCACAACCTAATATAAATGTCAATGAATAGTGAAATATACCTCGCGTTATATAAAAAATCCATTTTTTAAATTTACATTTGAAAAATAATTTTTGATTCAACAAAACAGTGTAAAAGTACAAAGACTGTATAATATCTGTATCCAGCATTCCTTTAACATTACTCCCTCCTTTTACATTACTCTCTAGAATACAGTCAGTGTATTCTTCACTGAAATGCTATACTTAAAACCGGTGGCTCAGTTATAAGTATAGCACTGTAATCAGTAAAATCTTGTTGAAAGAATCAGCTAATAAAAGCGACTAAAATCAATAATGCCCATTATACATGCACTTTGTGAACACAGACAGTGTAATTACACGCGAGGCGCATGGTAATCGTTAACTGCATCGTCACAAACGCAGAAAATTAGATTTTTTCATAACGAATTTGTTTATTATAGATTTTGCGGTGAAATCTTACTGCCACTGGTCAGAAACAAAACAAAGGAACAAAGTGAAAGTATTTTCATCAGAAATCAGTGAACATTAACTGGTGAAACAGTACTTTTACTGTTTCAATCAGAAACATTTCTACTGATTTATTTTGAAAGAGTAGGCCGGCCCGGGACTAGATGCCCTATATTTTAGAATTTCAAAGCTGCAACTTCTCAGGCAACTAATTGTTGTGACTGACTGTATAAACGTGATAGAAGCAACTTTCCTCTATATATTAATGCCCATCACGACTCTGTTAAACGTATATTTTGTTTTAATTTATTTTGTAATAATCAAAATACGAACATATAGCAATATAACTATCTTGCCGCAAGTTGCTCAGAATAGCGCGGGGTAAAGAAGGTTGCATATAAAGTATATATCCTAATTAGTAGTTCCAGAGTCCCCGTGAGAGGTCCCCATAGCCCTCCTGTCTTAATCATGGACCAACTTTGTCTCGTCTGCTCATGTCCTCTATTTCAAACATTTTATGAATGAAAATTGCTTTTCTGCTATTAGCAGAAACAGTATATCATACGCTTGTAAAAAATTTCAACTAGTAAATCATCGCTTAATTTTATTCAGTCGACGGAAAATATTAATAGAAAATTTTATAAGGTTCGAAAATTTACTTTGCTAATACCAAATCAGTTTTTCCTATTTCTCAACTGTAATATTATTCTAATAGAACTCTCAACTACAATATAAATTTAATGAAAGTCAGGGAAAACTCAAGGAAATTCAGGGAAAAGTATTTATGTTCTAAAAGATCCGTTTTGCAATTTTACACCCACTATTCTTCTTGTGATAAATATTAAAAAAAGCACATATCCCTGCGACCATGTAGCCCCGATCTCCCCTTTGTGTCCAGAATAAACACATTTTCTCTTTCCGTGCCTTTATATGGTGTGTGATTTTGCG